TTTTTTTTTTTATTTCCCTTGAGGCACTATTGTCCTCGTTAGGAAAAAGAATGTTATTGAACTAAAAATCTGGCATGTGATCAGTGCTTGTGTTTCATATCCATTGACCATTTGCATCAATAAATGCTAAGTTTTATGCGCAATCTTGGAATGAAGATATTTCAGATTCTAATGTTGTGTATACATGTGTAGCCATGTATATTACATGAGTGGGGACGCTTGGAAGGAAGGAGGTATTGATGCAACTGGTAAGATCACACATTAGACTTGTACCTTTTTTCTTTTATTAGAGGCCAAATGCATCTATTTTTTAATGTTTTGTGAGAGAAAAATATGTTGCCTTCAAAGTTATCTCAAAGAGAAACTAGTAAGTAGTAAGTAGTTTCTTTGTTCTTATGAGTTATGATTTGATTTCTATTTTCAAAAACCAGTTCCAATTGGCATGAATTATTGAGGTCGAACTAATCTCATTGTCTGGGTCATACATTTTTTTGTAAAAAACAAGATTCAATGCACAAAGTAAAGGGGGAAATGAGACATCTCACCAAGAGCCAAGGAGATTAGAAATTAGATAGAGAGTGCACTAGTTGGCATTCAAGAGTTTGACTAACTCCCAAACTTCCTCTTGTCCTAATCCTATCTTCAAAAATTATGAGGTGTTGCTCCCGATCTCCCAAAGTAGAGCTTTAACCTTATTAGATCACAAAACTTTTTTCTCGTCTAAAATTCTCTCAACAGAGGAGCTAAAGAAGAGCCTCGTTGCTGGTTTGGGGAAGAAGTCAACTAACATTAAAGCTATCCAACAGCTTAGAGTAGATGTTATGAACCTTAGGGCAAGGAAAGAAGATATGCAACTGAAGCTTTGAGCATTTTTGCTACACCTCACATTAGGTAGGAGAAAGGCAAAAGGTTGGATTCGTCTTTTGAAGCTATACCAATGTATTGAATCCAACCAAGGCTGAAGTCTATAGGAAAAATTCAATTTTCCTTGAAGTTTTATGCTTCCTAATGCTCCTACATAACCAATTGCGTGGACGCAGAAGTGGTGGGTTGCTAAGTGGTGCTTGAAAAAGGACTTGCAGGAATGATTATTGAAACTCGAGATTTCAAAATCTTCGATCAGGGAAAGAGTTGGGCACAGAACTTTGCAACAAACTAGAAAGGGAAATCCATTCCCTTAGTTTCTATTCTGAAAGTGTTCTTCTAAAGTCCAAACTCCAACCATACTATCATGCCAAGATTATAATATCTATCAAATGTATGATAAACAACTCAGTTTCTTTCCTACATGCGTAATTACTAGACTTTCATGAATTATTGGATTAAAAAATATATTAAATATTCAGGTTTACTGATTTATTTATGCTCATTGGAGTTTCGAGACTTTGGTTTATATTTATTTTGTGGTTACTGACATTTTTTCCACTATATTGTTCAGGGGCCTTGATGGTATTGACACTGAAAGTCATTTCATGTGCAATAAATTATAATGATGGGTTGTTAAAAGAAGAAGGTTTAAGTGAGGCTCAAAAGAAAAATCGATTGATTAAGTTGCCCTCATCAATCGAGTACATCGGTTATTGCCTCTGCTGTGGCAGCCACTTTGCTGGTCCTGTTTATGAAATGAAGGATTATCTTGAGTGGACTGAAGGAAATGGGGTGTGTTCCATTCTTCTGCTTTGATTCCACCCCCCCCCCCAAAACTCTGGGACGTTCTTATGTTGAATTTTGTTGCCTTGGTTCTTTTTTAGATTTGGAAGCATGATGAACAAAACCCATCTCCATCACCATATTTCGCTACAATTCGAGCTCTTTTCCAAGCTGCCTTTTGTATGGGCTTGTATTTGTACCTGGTACCTCAGTTTCCATTGTCCCGCTTTATTGATCCCGTCTACCTTGAATGGCCATTCTGGAAGCGTCTTGGGTACCAGTATATGGCAGGCTTTACAGCACGCTGGAAATATTATTTCATCTGGTCGATTTCGGAGGCTGCCATCATTATTTCCGGCTTGGGTTTCAGTGGTTGGACAAAGTCTTCTCCACCCAAACCGAGCTGGGACCGTGCAATAAACGTCGATATTATAGGTCTTGAGTTGGTGAAGAGTGCAGTTGAGATTCCTCTTAAATGGAATATTCAAGTCAGCACCTGGCTTCGTCATTGTGAGTTTTTTTTTGCAATTGAGTTTTACACACAACCGCACTGTTTTTGATATCTTAAACAAACCACTAGTTTACTCCGTGTGAATAACTGTGACTTGGGGGTAGCTTAAGCATATCTAAATAGTAAAAGACTATGATTTTATAAATTTCTAAAGTAAACAAAGCAAGAAAAGTGACGTGCATAACTTCCTCTATTCAACATCTTTTTGGAAACATGGGTTTCAGAAAACTGGAGCTATAGATAAATATAAAATGATCTCATTACTGTTTCATGCTGGTGTAGATGTTTATGAGAGGCTGGTTCAAAAGGGGAAGAGACCTGGTTTCTTTCAGCTGCTGGCAACACAGACTGTCAGTGCTGTTTGGCATGTGAGTATCATGAAACAGATTACTGCCTTTAATTTATAGCTATAACTTTTTGATTCCCCTGTTATAAATTCGCAATCTGTGGTTAATAAGGTTCTATTGCATTCTTTTTATTTGGTTTTAAAAAACTTTTTCAATATCAATAACCTTTATATGTAGTCCACTTCATTCCAAGTTTATGTAACTATATGGTGAGTTCACTTCGTTCCAAGTTTATCGGTTACCTACCAATTGGTTGGTCTGATGTATTTTCTTATTCTTTTCTTCTGACATCCACTTGCTTTTCTGCTTGCCCGAAAAATATAGGGTCTGTATCCTGGGTACATAATCTTCTTTGTTCAGTCTGCTCTGATGATTGCTGGTTCAAGAGGTATGTAATGGCCTACCTGTTATTATACTGTCCATTCTTTTTTCTTCAGGTATATAACTCTTTTCTTTTGTTTCCTTTACCTACCTTGTACCGCTCTTCGAGCAGTTATTTACAGATGGCAAGTAGCTGTTCCTCCAACCTTGGCTTTCYTCAAAATCATACTCGGATTTTTTAACTTTGCTTACACAGTTTTGGTTCTGAACTATTCCTGCGTCGGTTTCATGGTACCTCTCTCTCTTGCTTGCTTGGTCGCTCTTTCTCGTCGTGCTTATACAGTTCTGATGCTATGATGTTTGGGCAGGTCTTGAGTTTGCACGAGACGCTTGCCTCGTATGGAAGCGTGTACTACATCGGAACCGTCATTCCCGTCACACTGATCTTACTTGGCTCCATAATTAAACCCGCAAGACCGGTTCGATCCAAAGCTCGAAAAGAAGAGTGAGGTAAGAAAGTGCAGTCATCTTTGTGGGGGGTTTCTGAATAACTTTAAACGAGTGAGTAAAGGAGAAGAAGCCAGTGGCTTCTTTTTCCACTTGAGATGCTGAAGATTGATCGCTAAATTGTTATTTATTTTAGTTGATTGATGGATCTTTTGGGTTAAGCTCTTAGTCTCCTTTGAATTCTAAAACCTTGATGTTGCAACTTTTTTAGTAGATTGTTGAATGTTTGTGGAATGCATGCATTGACCCCAAATCATTAGGGTGGTCCAAATTTTATGGCATTTGCTAGTGATATTAGTGTGGTCCAAATTATATTTTTATTGTGATTATTATAATTGTTCTTTTATTTTATTTTATTTTATTTTTATGGTGTAACATAAATTGCTTGGGCACATGCCCATCTTATCTAAATTAATATTGTTTGTAAATTTGAGCTGTGATTTCGATTTTAAACAAGGTTTCAAATGTCGATACCGATAGAAATATCGAGATTGCAATTTTATTGAAATGTCTATGAAAATATTGATAAAATGCCGACGTCGATAGATATTTCAGGAAATGTTTTAAAACTGAAAAATTCTTAACAAATAAGCATTTTATCCTTGCTAAATAAGTTAAAAATTATTAACGTTAATATTATATCTATGTATTAGTGATATTTTGTTGATATTTTTCATATTTTGTCGATTTTTTGCAATAATATGGAAATGTCGATTTAGTCGATTTATCTTTCGTCTCGATGTTGAACTCATGGACACATGAAAATGTCAACGGAAATCTAACATAGTGATTATTAAAAGGTAATATTTTGTTTAAAGAAACACATTCTGGAGTGTTTGGTTCCCTATCTTCAAAACGGCGGGTAAGTGTTAAGACAAACCTTCTTTTGTTTCATAGTCTTATAAAACAACCCAACTTAATAAAGAGGCCACATGTGCTGAAAAGAAAATGTGGGTGGGATCAAACTCTGTCAATTTTATTACTATAACAATATTTTTAACCTCAGACAATTTTTATAAATTTTAACCAATGGACTAAGAATTTGTTGTATAAAGTTCAATCATTAATTTGTTATAAAAATTATGAGTKAAGTATCTATATTTGGTCCTTCAAGTTTGAAAAGACACTTTTGATCTTTAAGAGACATTTTTTTTATCCCTAAAGTTTTGAAATTTGTTCTGAATGATTTTTGAAATGAGTTTACCATTAGTGTTGACTTTGACTAAACTATTAAATGTTGACATGGAAAGTTAGAGTTTGGTAAATTTAAAATGGAAAAAGTTAAATAAAAAAAGAAAGAAAAAAATGGAGAAAGAAGGTTAAGGAAACTTCTCCTCCGCCACTTCGAAGCTTGAAGACAAATTCTAAATGGGGAAGATTTAAGAACTTCCAGACATGATTAGAGCTGAAATTTAGAGATTTGTGCTTCCTCAGCGTTGGTGGGCAACTCAGTTTCTCCGGTATTCTTGCTTCCTTCACCGGTGGCGTTGTTGAACATGACTTCTTGCCGCCGTCGTCGTCGTGTTTTGCCCTTGATTTCGTCTTTATCGGCTTCAACGACGCTTTCGCCAGCACCCGACGATCAACCATTTTTCCCCCTTCGATTCCAAGTCGCCGTCTATTTGTGACTTTTTCGATAACCTCATTTGAAATCCGAGAAAAAAAAAATTCCCACAAAAGAGGGTGAAAAAGGGAAGA